GGCGGCCCGCCCGGCGGCGGCGGGGGGGGGGGGGGGGGGGGGGGGGGGGCGCAAGTGGTACATCTCCGCCCCAAAACATACCATGCCCGCCTCCCCACCACCGCCGTGCTCGCTTCCGTTGCGCACCCGAGGAACAACGCACCGCCCCCGCGCGGTGTGCTGCTTAAGGCCCCAATCATCGCTTCATGACCTTCGCCCACGAGTAGAGGAAGGACCCGCCCATGCTGACGACCATGCCGGCGCAGTTGAGGGCCTCGAACTCGTAGTCGTCTCCCATGCCGAGCATCCCCACCACGGTCGTCAGGAGGTTCTTGGCGCAGCCCACTACCGAGGTGGTGAGCGCCGAGTTGACCCGCGTGCACCGGAAGATGGAGTACTGCAACACCGAACCTGCGTGGAGTGAGACAAAAGTAAAAGGGTAGATAAAGATGCGTTCTTTGGTCATTGCCCAAACGCGTGACAGAAGCTATTCGGCGCCTGTGTGTATTTCAAAGGTTTCTTCTGCTTGGCGCCCATCAAGACATCAACGTCAACTCTGCTTCGTGTGCATGCGTACGCCTACATCGCCTTGATGGTGATGAGACACGAAAGGGGGTAAGACCAAATAACAAACATAAGCACACAGGGCGAGCATGCTTCCAAACGCGCGGTATTGTACAAGATCGATTGAGCACCGGGCTCTTCTTTCGTGAGCCGCATAGGTGTGAGTGTGTCCACCGTTATGAGGTACCACCAAAAACAACACCAAAAATAACATGGACACAAAGGACGCACACACAGACACCCTGGCTTGGGGCTTGGTTTGACTGCGCCCTTCTGCTGTCCTCGGCTCTTGCATTATCGGCCTTCTTGCGTTCGGCTATTTCGGGCTTACGCGAAGCATCGGTCTGTTTTCTCTCTCCAAAAAGGGTTTTGTACAAGAGTTTGTTGGGTGGCGTATCCTGGGCGACGCCCAATCCTCGGATTCCGGCCCTCTTCTGGTGGGGGACCTGACTTTTTCCAGCCGGCGCACTGGTGCCTCTCCGTTGGTCAGCCGGTCAGGCGCACCAGCCCCGTGGGATTCAGAGCCGGAGAAGCGCATCACTCGCTCGCTTCACGGTTGCACACGAAAAAAAATGGGAGACACTACTAGTACTTCAACTCTCGGGAATGGAGGGATTGTGTGTATTATCCTACCTATTTTCTATTTTTGGACGTCGGTCCATACTCATTTCGGTATGACAAAGGGGGGGGCACACTGGAGTTGATTTTTTCTCCGCCGCCTTCCTCCTGCTATACTTTGGTTTGATTTTTGATCGCGAGAATGATTCAGCCGTTCCTCTCCCTCGTCGACGGTGAACTATGAATCGAATTCTTGCGTAGCACACAATAAAAGTATCGCTTTACACGGTGTTGGGGGGAAATTGTGAGAAAATACCCCACAGCAGTTCATAAGGTGACTGCACCGAGATGCCACACCCGCGTCCAAAACGTCAGAAGGTTGCGAGGTTACTTACTGTTGTGTGACCGAGCGCAAAAAAGTGATCTCGCCCACAGGGGGCGGTGGGTGCGCTCTGCAAGTCGGTGCCGTGTGCAGCCAACAAGCGACAGAATCAGCCTCTCCTCTCCGCCTCCACCCCTCCCACTCACCCATGAAAGACGTGCAGATGTACAGACCTATGAAGGCCGGATCCCGCCACCCCGGGAACTCCACGATGCTCTCCGTCTCGCCCGGCATGATGAACACGACGAGGGTCATGACAATGGCTCCGAAGAGGCTGTTGAAGTACAGGAGGCTGGATGGAGTGGAGAGGTGGCGACGACGGTAGCGGCAGCCAAAAAGGAACGAGGCAAGATGCGGTGCATCCGTGTGAGGGGTGGGAGAGCCTTGTTGCGATCGCAGGCGGCGGTCGTAGAGCCAGCCACAGAAACATTACAGACACGCTTATTCGGAAAGGAAAAAAAATGACGTGGAGCGGAGGGGGGGGGGGTTCGGGGGGGGGGGGGGCCCCCCCCCCCCCGGGTGAAACACGACCCCAACCCATTCCCGGGGATTTTTGGGTTCCCCCCCCCCTTTTTGGAAAACTTTTTAAAAGCTTTAAAAAAATTTTTTTTCGGAACCCC